CCGGACAGCATGACTAAGTTGCGAAAACGAGATCAGACCATATAAACATATACATCACAAAAAGACTCGAATATTTGGCACAACATCCTGATCTTCATATCTAAATTTATCCTGATGCGAATTCTTCTTGCGCATCAGCCGGCAATGTATTCCTTAACGCCGGTGAATCAGGGAATCGATGAATACTTTAAAGTAAGCCGTGCATGTCCAAATTCCATATTTTTGGTAAAATAATCACTCGCGTTCGAGTCCCGATTCGGGTTTTTAATGAGACCCTGGGGATGCCGAACCTGTGGTCGAGGGAAATCCAAGAGGATTGCAATGACATGCCGAGGCATTAAACTCATCTACGATGATGAAGGATTTATACTTACTTTCTCTACAATAAAATGAATAGACCTCAAATTACAATCTAAGTTCATTGGTTTGCATAACCATGCCATTCAAAAGGTTTTTTCATCCCGACTGGACTGGCCATTGCCCAGCAGCCGTCTCACCAGTACCCCCAACAACAAATTCAGTATATAATGTCGATATGCTACCAATGCGCTACTCTAGTTTCACGAGTGCCATTCGGTCACAGGGTAGAAGTAAACTCCAAAGCAGGCTAGACCCATCCCATATCATTTGTCTATATTGGGATTATCGCTGAGGTGATCCCGTATTTTCCATTACCATCAACAGTATTACTTGCATTATGATTGAGTAGAATGTTGAGACTGTCAGTAGTTCTTGAATAGAAGGGGATTTATTTTCCGCTGGGAGCGCTGATGAGGCCACTGTTAGGCGGGTTCTAACCTGCAGGCCAGTCCATTCAGAATAAAAATATCTGTTGAAAGGATGGCTGAGTAAAAGTTGCTTGCGTCGGAAAAAATTAACTACAAATCCTTCATCACTTTAACTGAAGAGAATGATTCAGCATGTCATCGCAGCCATCTTGGCTTTTTCTTGTCACCAGATTCGGCATCACTAGGGTATCATTGGAAATTAAGCCATTTTTTCACCACAACTCCTTCATCACCTAAAAGCTATCAGTAAAGATCTACTGCTAGTCTAGAAATACTACTTATTACTTCAGATATCTTACTTATTTGCTGTAAGCTCAAATATTAGTTAGTTCATCTCCTGAGGCTATCTACTTGGGCTCCTCTTGCTACATTTTAGATTCAAGTAGTTTTCAATCTTATTAGTAATTCTTGAATAAGAACGGAGTCAGCCTAGGTTACTTGAGGTGATTTAAGCATTGATGATTGAGTTTGTCAGTGAATTTCATAATGAGACTAAAAAGCCATTCACGCTTAGACGACAACCCCATTATAAATGTGATTTGGTCTTTTGCCACCAGTAGCTTTTTTGTGGGTCGGTAACATCACGGTGATGCCCACAACACAGTATTGAAGCCTGTTGGGGGTGCCGCTGCTGCTGCTGATGATGATTATGTCACTCCGAGGCCCATTCATCTGATTATGGGAAAACTCAACCCTCGGTCCCTACTCACCTCAAGCTTCTTGGAGTGACCAAATTATTGTCATTTTACAACATCTGGATTATTTAGTCTTCGATTTGGTTATAACTCCTTTTGCTGTATTGAGTTGGTCAGACCCCGTTTTCGCAACTTGGTCTTGGTGTCAAAGTGACCTCAAGAAACCTATCCAATCCTCAATGAATTGTGTGGAAAATCCTTAAATTACCTTGAGCTAGTTGAACTGACAAGCTCCTAATACTATCTGAGGTTATCGATAGCTTCCTTTTTCCCACATTGCTCCACTTTCAGGGAATTGGCTGCCATGGATAAACTTGGTCGAAACCTACCAGTACCCTCTGCGATCGACTCCTGTCTTTTCCACCATACTGGTCCCGAATCAGGACAACACTGTGATTGAGTTCCTGATTGGCTTGATCTCCCGGCAAGAGAAGTCCGTCCTCTTGCTTGGTGAATCGGGCTCCGCGAAGACTGTTATCGTCAACAAATATCTGAAATCTCTGAGGCCCGAGGAGAATCTGTTTCATGACTACAACTTCTCATCTGCCACAACTCCAGCCCTCTTTCAGGTACACTCGGACTTCACGTCCAGGAATGCATGCTTCTGGCCTGTGTGCGGTTAGTTTGGTGGACCAATTTCGTTATTATTCCAGTAGCTACTTTCCACCTGCCAAATGAGCACATGAAGGGGGCATAACAGCCCTTGCCTTCAAAGCAAACTGCATTTTCTAGGGTCTAGCAATCGTCCCAGAAGGGATTCGGAATCGAACA